CATAAACTACTAGAAACGGGTTTAAGTATGTATAACGAAAGACGTAACACAACGTACACATCGACATTTTATTTTGTATGTCTCTCTCTCTCTCTCTCTCTCTCTCTTATATTAGAATTATAATAACGTATATAATCGTGCTAATACGGCAAACTTAAAAAATAAAATATACGGTGAACAATGTAACTGTAAATGTGCTATATACGTACATTTCAGAAACGAAAACGGAAGAAAGAGCGTCGAGGAGAGTCTAATAACGTGGAAAAGAAATTCACTGTCGCAAACGCGAGGCACATTAAATATATACAACGTTCTGTGTCAAGATTCCGTGAAACTGTTTTGATTTTCCTTATACTGATTTCGACAATACTCGCAAAAAAGTCGTCGTTTCACTTTCTTCCAAGTCAACGATTTTTCCAAGATCCACCGACAGCTTGACCTGCCTTTAGAACGTTTCCTGTTGTGGGTATTTGCCGAGTGTAAAGAAAATACTTGTTAAATTCATTTCAAAATCATTTTCACCTGCGAAGGCGACGAGTTTGCACGTCTATCGGCGTATATATGGTTTAAATGACTGAGCGAAGAAAAAAGAAAGAGATAAAGCGGGAAAGGACTTTTTTTCCCAATTATAAACTAAAATGTATTACTTTTAACTGCCCCTCGTGAAAAGAAGTAGGGATCGGCGATAGTACTGCTCACTAACTAGCGCGCTAAGATATCCTTAATACATAGCTATTACTGGGTAAGATAAACTCTCAACAGATAATAAGGAATATTATTAATAACTTATCGCGACAATTTTGCGATGTATATACCAAATGTAAAGTCGCGTGCAAAAGTGTCTTCCTTATATCTTATGCTCAGTACTTTAATTGTCAAGTTTTTATATATATATATATATATGTATATATGTATATGTATGTACAAGATGTCTTATCTCTCTCTTAAGACATTCTTAAGACATAAGATGTCAATGAATGTTTATATCTTAATATGCAGACATTCTACATATTGTACAAGATATAAATATTCGATACAGCGTAATCATATATGTATATATAAAAGTAAATCATATATAGTGCTATTAAGAATTATGAAACGAGTACGGCCGCATCGACTGAGAAATCGCGTCAAGTTTCCATATGTATGGACTTGGTTTCATGTTAGCGTAAAAATGGCCAATATATAAAAAAAAAAAAAAAAAAAAATAAATTAGTCATAAATAATTTACGCATAGAATAATGCACATAAATAACTTAAGCGAGCTCTCCGCGCGTGGTGAGACATGATTCTTGGAAAGAAAAAAAAAAATAATATTTTAATTCTATGTACAAGTACACAGCTCCGTCATATTAATTGGGATTAATTTTCGCGATCACAAATTTGTACAAATTCCCATTTCCTATGTCTTTCATTTGGTCGCGTCTATACTATAAATATTAGTTTTAATTCTCTCAGCAGTGTATGGAGACGTCCAGATTACGCTTTCTTTCGTAGCAAAATAATTTTTGCGATTCTGTAGATTCGGAAGATGTATGGATATATATCTGCGTGTATACGTATATGTATATAATGTTTTTTCGTGTGCATATGGATGTGTATGTACTTTCTAAAGAACAATACTACTTTCTCGTATTGTTAACTTCTTTGCTCTTGTTGAGACTAAGGCGGTATGCATGTTTCCTGTGTATTGTGTTCAAGTGACGTGTGATGCTATGCAGACGCAGGGAAGGATAAAGATAGCAAATTCTTTCAATCAAGTAAAGGTTTTGTCTCTCGTCTTTGGATTGAAACACGGCGATCTCTACTTTGGTAAGAGTACAAGTACCTCTCTCATCGCTCATAATTTATCCTGCTGATCCTTTTCTCTCGCGCCTTTTCGATCGCGAAACGTGCGCGTTTTTAGACGCACGGGATGAGGATACGGGATTAAAATCCAATCGCGTTCAGGTGAAAACACCGGTTTCGCTCCGCTGCATACGGATTCACGTTCTTAACGAACGGATTGTATTACAGTCGCCAAACAATCATCTTTTCACGTGGTCGACACAACAGTGTTCGTCGCTGACGAATGCGTCGTTGTGGCTGCTGCAGTAATCGTTGTTGTCGGCGTTGGCGTTGATGTTGTCGTCGTCGTCGTCGTCGTCGTTATCGTCGCCGCCGTCGCCGCCGTCGTCGTCGTCGTCGCCGCCGTCGCCGCCGCCGCCGTCGTCGTCGTCGTCGTCGTCGTCACCATCGTCGTGCTCACCACGCTGCTCGGTTGTGCGCTCGATTCGGATGTTCGCATGCTCGAGTCCTTCTCCAAACACGATCTTTTCACGTCCTTGTGTTCGCTGGATGAACTGGACTTCCTCTTGTGCTTCGAGCTCGAAGAGTGGGAACGACTCGACGTCGCGTGGCTATCCTTGCTGATGCCACTACCGGACGATCTCTTCTCTCCATGCCTGTGAGTGCAGTGATGATCACTGCAGTGGCATTTCTTCCTCTTCTCCTCCGATTTCTTTTCAACGTCCTTCGAACTCATCCGTTCCGATTTTTCGACCGCAGGATAGCTGTGCGACGACACTCCGGCAATGCTCAGAGTGTCATCCTTGCTGGTGTCGTCAGACGTTTTAGATTCGGGCTTCAATTGGGTGGGACTCCGATGGTGATGTCTGTCGTGCTTTCGCTCCCGTTTCTCGTGGTCCCTTTTTTTCTTGTGCCTTCGTTCTCTGCAGTCTTTCTCGTCTCTGCATTTACATTTTAATTTCGAGTGCGCCGTGCCGTGAGACTCGAATGATTTTGGCGAATTCTCATCGCTACTACCGTTTCTACTGTTGCTATGTCTATCATTCTCAGATGGAGATGTGGAGGATACGACGGACGAGGAAGAATACGAAGAGACACCGGTCGTCGTCATCGCCGACGTCGTTGCCGAATTCTCGCTGCACGGATTGCCGTCGGTGACAAAGTCGGTGGTTTTCTCGTTTTTCGCACGTTCCTTCGCCTCGTCCTCTGCCATTTCGATCAGTGCCTTAACGGCATTCTCCGTCGCGCATTCCATCTTTGACGTGAACGCCATTACGGTCTCCATCTCGAGCAAGTGGCAGTATCTCTCCAGTTTCGCGGCATCATCCTTAAACCATTGCTCGGCGATCTCGAAACTCTCCTTGTGTATTTTCTCTAGCACCTCCTTCGAAGCTTCCGAAACTTCGGCGCGTAGCGACTGGCATACCTCCTCGACGTCAGTCTTCGACTTATAGATAGCTATCTCCAACGCTCTGTCCACAACCTCGGTGGCGTACGTTTTGGCGACGGTTTGCCGCTGCATTAATACCTCTTCTTCGAGAACAATCGGAGATGAATCTCCAGTTCCAGATGTATCTACCGACGAAGACAATTCCGAACTGCTCAGTCGTCTCTTGGTCTCCTTTAAGGAAGACGAATTATCGAACTTGGAAACGATTCTTGCTTCTGTTACGCCAGCAATGCTCTCTTTACTCGACATACTCTTACCGCTGGATCTCTCGTGATGACTACAACGATGATCCAATTTGTGACCATTGCTGTCGTATTTTTTCTTCTTGCAGGAATGACAGATTTCTGAACTGCCACTGCCGTTGCTATGTGTGTGATGACTGCTTGATTTCTCACCGCTACGGCGACGATCCTTATGTTTCTTCTCCGACCTCTTCTCGTCCCTCTTGTCGTTGCTCTGCTTCTGCTCATTGCTCTCACTCTTGGACGATTTGGTACTACCAAACGACGACGGTTTATCATTACTCTCTTCTTTGTCTTTTCGTTTGAGCGACGAATGTCTGGAGTGATGTCGACTCTTACGATGCTTTCCGTGTTGGTCAGATTTCTTCAAATTACCCTGGTATTCGGCTGCTCTCTCCTTCGCCTTCTCGAGAGAATCGATCGACAATTTCTGTTCTAAACGCTGCCGATTCGTGTTTTCTTTCTGCTCGTCACCTTTACAGACAACTTCCAGAGGCTTTTTCTCTTTGATACGATGAGTGGATTCGTTTACTACGCGACTATGTCTGATGCTCGTACTGTGTTGCGATTCCGAGTAATATTGCTTCAATCTGATGTGCCAAGCGATACTCGAAACGGCTGTAACCGTCCTAAATTGGTGGATGATGTTGCGCGGTAGAAAATATATATCGTTGTCGTAAAGATTTATCTTGGCGTAACGGACACCTTGTCGGCGTAATTGATTCAACTTCGCGTCCTCCACCCATTGTACGCATTGCGATATAGGTGGCTCGTGCAAATCTAACTGCAACTTCTCGACAAGTTCGGTGAAGTCACCCGCGTAAAAGGCCACGACGTCCTTCGTGACTCTGTTGTATTGGGATGGCTGTCCGCCGTGAATGGCTTTCAGTACGCCGACTGCCGCTGTGGTCATTCTGTCCAATCCATGGCCAACGTGATCGGCATGCGCTTTTGTACGATCTTCGAACATATATTCTCGAGCCTCACTGAGTCGTGGTAGGTATTGTAAATTCCTCAACTCATTGATACCCGTCCTGCGCCGTTTGTACGGGCTTTTGTTTATGTCGGCTGTTGGTACCAATTGCTCGCCCGGTCGAATCCACAAGATAGGACCATCATTCGACTCTTGCGGTGTGTCCATTTTCACGACAGACAGAGGTCCCCAAGGCATCGTCTAAAACACGATACAATAATGTGTTATAACAGAGGGCAATAAATATGTATGTAGAGATTCATGATATACTGACCATTTTTAGAAATGGATTCTCTTCTAATTTTTGCAACAGATCAGGAAAATACCCGCCAACCTCTTCGTGAACAGTGCCCACCAAACTTATCTGGTGCAACGGTCCGTATCTAATAGTACCGTTACTATAAGCTTTACAAACTTGATCTTTGTATTGAGCCATTGTGGTTGTTTCTATATCACTACTTCTACCCAATACTCCATTTTTTACAGTCAACGTGGGATAATTATTAGCCATGTAGTCCAGAAGATCAGGTAGGTACGCAGCTGCGTTGTGTACTATGCCCATAACATGATGAGCGTTTCCATTTTCATCTTCACCAAAAACCACCTAGGAAATATAGAAAATTTCACATTATAAGTATCAAATTTTAACATTGCAAGATTGAAAAAGAACTTCAATTTAGAGCCATACTCCTACAACAGCTCCTTTAATTTCTTATTTTATAATATTGAGTTAGTTTACGTACCTTAAAGTACTCTTGCGTTAATTCTTGCATTTGTTCATGTGTCAAAGTACCAATCTCATCCTGAAACATGTGGACGACTGTTGCCCCGCCATTAGGATACGTTTCTATATGGATAAACTTTTTGTACTTTAGGCCTTCCAGCAATTCTCTTTTCATCACCGGATTATTTAGCATCTTGTAGTTTTTTGTTTGTAGATTTAACCTTAGATTTTCATTGACCGATTTCGAGAAAGGGAGAACCTTGCTGCTCAATGATGATAAAACATGACGATCCCGTTTACATTGTACACCGATGCTCGCTCTTTTTATTCCTTTGCGTTTATGACACCGTGAGCAATATCGTCTGTCTTCTTTCGAGCGTTTCTCTCTTGAAGACGAGTAGGTTTTCGAATGCGAACTGGAAGATGGATTAGCAGTGGAATCTGTGGATTTATCTTGAGACTCTATCGCTGCATCCGCTTTATCCGATTCTACCGCCGAAAAACTATCTTCTACCCATTTGGGTTTAATCATTTCAAGTTCCTCTTGTGAATCTACAGGTTCTTTTTTAAATTCAATAGGTTCTGTTTTCAATTCTTTATCTGTGATGTCTTCTTCTCCATCAGCATCCTGCTGTTTACTTGATTCTGTTTTTACAATACCAACTTGTGTATCGCCTATCTTCTCTGATGATGAACAAAATGGATATTCTGTTATTTTATCCATACATGTGGCCACATTGTCAGTGTTCTCTTCATTATATTTCGCTGTGTCCATAATAACTGTAGAATTCGCCGGCATCATGCTGATGGGAAACGTCGTATCTGGACTATGAGGATGAGGGCTGACAGAAACTCTTGGTGGATAGTCAGGACTCCTCGGACTGCTAATTACTTCACCACTACTTTGTGGGCTCTCTCCCAACTGTGGCGTATTGTTAGAGAAATTCATGCATCCTTCTAATTTTGCTTTAGTAGATAAAATATGTATGTCAGATAACATTGTGTCGTTATTACACATGGAATCGGTCTAAACAGAGAAAGATTCATTAGATGAAAATTGTTTTGATACGATTCATACGATACAAACAGATGTAATTTTATTAGTAATTTATAATAGAACATATAATAATAACTTATATATAAGTACAAGAAATATTTTTAAAAAATCATGTAATACCTACATATGTAATATGTTGAACTGATTCCTTAGTAGTTTTTACTACATCATTGTTGCAATGATCTGGACTTCCTGTATCATATACAGAGCATTTTATCGAAATTTAGTAAACTGTATAATTTACTATAAATTATAATTCAATTTTATCTATTCGCATACATCTTTACATTTAAAACTTAGATTCTTTATCATTCTTCTATAAAAAAAAATTTTCCTCTTCCAAATAATTATTAAATTTAATTCTTTTTTTCTTTTACATTATTTTAAAATTAATAAATAAAAAAATATACATACAAATATACACAATAGCATTTTGACTGAACAGTATTATAAAAAGTAAATAAAAATTTTAATTATTAAATAAAATCAAAATTTCTTTCTCATTATCTATATAAAAAATTCAACTTTTATAATCGTATAACATATCGTATAACAAATCGTATAACAAATCAACTCTCACATTTTATATAAACCTTTGTACATTTAAAATAAATCTGAAATATAAATTGTTAAAATTTAAAATATATACAGATTGTTAACATAAATAAACTTTTTGCAAACATATCTCTCGGTAATCAGTCATCGATAAATAATTGTGTAAATGATACATATTCTAACAGAACTAAACATAAATTAACTTTACTGTCATCTATATTTTATCTGCAAAAAAATATGTTCTATATTGTACTAAAAAACATTGGAATGCGAGACTACAGTTATCAAACTGCCAGAATAAACATTATTCCAATATTGGAAACGACAGATATCGAGGATTTCGGCGTCCGTTCGGTGTCATTCCCCGAGCGGGCATCGACGAAACGCGGAAGGGGATTACCGTCTGGCTCTCCCGGAAGACAAGCGCCGTTGTCCAGGTCACCACTCTGGTGAGACATGCTGCGCCGTTGGGCGGACGGCTGCTGCGTCGCTTCGCTGTCGGGCTCGCTGCTCGCGACCAGTTCAGCCACCGCATCACCGGACCCGCTGCCCGCGAGGCCCGTGTCCCTCCGTAATGCGTGCCCTTCCGTGTTCGCGTGAAACTGCGGTGACGCTGCGGGGAGACTCGTGGGCGTCCTCGGCGAATTGCGCGCGGGATCGCGCGCGCGTCCCTCCGTCCTCTCGACAACGGTGCGCGACGCCGTCCCGGATGACGTAACAACCGCCGCTTCGCCCCCAACTGACTCGGTCGCTCGCTGGCTCGTGTTATTTACATCACATCCTACGTTTGACACGATACCCGCACCGTCCTCGGATGCCATCTTGGTTCCGTGAGCGACATCCCGGACGCGGCGATACTACGCGCCCGCCTCTGGCGCTCCCGTAGACGCGATATGCCGTGGTTGGCAATCCTGAAATCTGCTTAGCCAATTGCAAGTCTTGTTCATTCCCACCAATTATCGTTTCGTACGTACAAAGAGGCGCTCCGAGACCTTTTACGTGACGTGGCCGCACGCTTTCTTTCCGTCACGAACCTTCGGGAGAGTCGGAATTTGTATCCTATAATAAAACGTTGTTCAGTGTGTTGCTTAATATATTCTCGGAATATTTCCCGGATTCTCCGTGATGAATAATCCCGACGTGACGTTACAGCTGCCACGCGAAGAGCCCGAGCTAAACTCTAAATACCTGCGCGATGTCGAGAAAGGCATCGAAAATCTGACGCTAGATGGGAACGTAAACGATTTTAAGGATGTGAAACAGGATAACGGCCGAGCTGGACAATTGACATCCCACGACATCCAACGTACAGGTCTTGTTGGATTATGGGATATTTCTAGTGACCGAAAGTATAACGTAAGAGATACCGTGTGTCTTACGGCAGGAACCGCCGAGCCGATTTTTCTAGCAACTAGGGAGACTTATCGCGACTCATTCCTTAACAAGACTGTGACGCAGTTCACAGAGTCTCTACAGTCTGTAAGCGAAGGTCGCACGATTGATCCTATGGATCATGGATTACAAATCATTGGATCTCTGCAATACCGGTTCCGTCCCGGTTCAGCCATCGATTTCTCTACATACAAACCGAATGCATAAGTTATTATCTCTCCAGAGGCGAAAGCTCTGTGGCAATCTGTATCCTGGCCCCGATTGGATCATGAGTAATAGGCATCATGAGGTAAGCTACAATTGGATAAGGATTAAGCGTGACAGATGGAGATGTACGCATTGCAGCAAGACATTCTCAAATATGTTCACCTTCAAGTACCACATCAAACACGATGCAAAATGCAAAATGGACTCGTACCTTAGTGACTTTAGGATTCCTAGTGACTAGTGAATCCTTATGGGAATACGTTCACACAGCAAATACTCCTACTTGAATACTGATAGCCAAAGACGAACTGATCAAGCGTCAGCAATGATTTTGTGCCTTTGAAGTTCTACCTAATAAACTTGAAGATAGGAAAAGATACGTAAAAGATCTTTTTCAAGATATCTTCAAGATATCTAAATGATCTCTCTTAAAAGAAGACTGAAATATTTCTGAAATATATCTGTTGTATATATTAAGGATATCTCAAAATATACCTTCAAGATATTTATAGACGTATTAAAAATATTTATAGATATTTATATATTTTTAATGTTTAAAGCATATTTTTAAAAAATGTATATCTTTATCTGTACTTACATCATTGCTAATTATCTTTTATTTTTTTCATGAAAATTTTTTTATGGAAAAATATCTTTAATTGCACGATTATTTTTACTGAAATAAATATTGTAAGAGACTACTATTTGAATTCTTGTGATATTTTCAAGTAGTTTGTTTAAAGACGAGAATAAAAAAATTATTTTCGATCATTTTTCTTATTACTAATATTTGTATATTAATATTTTTTTGAATTTTTTTTATATGACATGTCGATATTGATGTGATTTATATTTCTTGTCTTATGGATGTAAATCTTTCAATTGCAATAAATTGTGTTTCTACTTTAAGTTCATTTCAACCCTTAAAGACAATTTTTGTGACAAAAAAATTGAATTTAAAAATAATGAATAAAAACGAAAGAAAAAAAGAGTCCGTATCGATTATGTTCGGGTTGCATTTGGTTCTTTATAATTTATAAATACTAATTTATATAAATACTCTATACTAATTTATGTTCAGCTTGCGTTCGATTTTTTGTAATTTATAAATCTCAATATGTTCGATTTACGTCCAATTGTTTATAATATATAAGTATCTCAACGCCGATAGCCAAGCCTGCAGAGATAGATTTTTAACTTATCAAAAATTGAGAACCAATTCCGAGAAAAGTCAACAAATTTCAAACAGGATCTGTAACATCTGTTAATGTCGATTATTGTCGGAAATATGATAAAGCTTGCTTTGCCAGCAGATTGGCAAAATCAAGCAGAGCTTGACATAACATAAAATGGTAGAAAAAATCGAGCAAATTGGCAACAGAAATTGAGCAGACTCTGCGTAACAATGTCAAATTCATAAATTAAAAATTATTGTTTGTATAAATAGCTATTGAAGGAATGATACTTGATTGTCCACTGTTGCTGATTTATCGATTAAATATTAGATCTTTTGATAGGTGGTCCATTTCTAAAAAAATTATCCTAAGCACTGATCGATGTGAGCGAAAGTATCTAGTTGCAACGTGGTTAGATGGGACGCTTCCCTATTGAAAATATCTTCAAAAATAATTTATATAAAAACATAATATTAACCTAACTATTTAAAAGTTGCTGCAAATAGTCTAAGTTAATGTTTGTCAATTTTTAATTAATAAATTTAACATTCTCATGTTATAGGCTATTATGGGTCATTATGGATTTGTTTAAAGAAATTTTCAGGATATATGAAGGATCTTAAAGTTATTTAAAAGACATCTTCAAGATCTAACATCTCAGATATCTAAACGATATTTCAAACTGTTGCACAAGATATATTTTAGATCCCTAAAAGATATCTTTTCGAAAAAAATGCAAAACATCTCAAAACATAACAAGCTATCTTTTAGAAATCAAAGAATGTTACGGAAGAGAGTCGATAGTATATCTTCAATCAAGATTGTGTATCTTCAGTCGATTGTGAAACGAGGTGAAAATTACAAAAGGGAGAGGAAATTCACTAGAGCATCTGCAATTTCATACGTTGAAAGCTAGTAAATCTTTTCACTTTTGTAATTTTCATGCTTCAAGATACACAATTGACTCCCATTGAGTAAATGCAATACATGTGAGATATATTTTCTTTTACTTTTTTTACTTTTATTTAGGAGCGTTCTAGATGCGCACATTTTCAAATGGACACACCACTCACATCGACATTGCTTAAAGATTTTTCAGTGGACCTATCAAAAGATCTAATATTTAATCGACCAAATGATTACGCAATATGTCCGATTGGATCTCATTCTCATACTTTGCTCGTTTAAAGGTCGGTAGGAGTGATGGGCTAACTCCGACTTGATCTAAAATGATTATCTATTCCTTATTTACAGTGCAGATATGTATCTATGCTCAATTATATTTTGTCTTATAGAAACGATGTTTCGTCATGAAAACTTTGTTCATGATAATTTCTTTTACAATTACGAAGCTACCTACAGAGCAAATTTTACAATTTAGCTCTTAAATAATTAAAATAAATGTAACTCTCTATTTCTTATTTACAGTGCAGATATATATTTGAGTACACCCATATATTAAAAGCGTAGAAGCAATATTTTGCCATGAGTTTTTTTTCTACGTATTTTTTATAAAATTATGACTTACTACAGATTTTGCAATTTGGCCCTTAAAAAAAATTTACAATAGATGAAAATATTTGTACCTTATTGTTCTATAGTGAGTCTATTTACGCGTAAATGAATTATTTATTTTCACACATTTTCTTACAAAAATCGTTCTGTAGCTTTCATCAGGCAAATATTCTGATTATAAATATCATAATTATATAGTTTTTCTCATAGCATTTTTGGCCATAATATGGGTGAAAAGAAATTTATCTCCGATAGAGGTCTCCATATCGACCCTTAAATTATGTACACTAAAGCCAGTGGCATACGATGCTTTTTTTCCTGTTGGTTTGCTAGTTGAGATGATCGGAGATTTCAGTGCGTACGAAGATCATGTTGTTTTAATAGTAAATCTAGTGCCGAGTTTCCGCACTTACGTACAGAAATCTAGCACGAGCTCCGAGAAATGATTAGGTGCAAAATATGACGTGAATTATACGGCGTGAATTAGCCAACGGCACATGATTTTTTTCCTGCTGATTTACTAGCTGGATTTGCGTGCTTGCTGAGCTCTTGTCTTTGATTGGTATATTCTTTTAGATCTAAAAAACGAGGATTCGGATTTTTAGCTTTCCCATGTTGATACTCAGAAAAATTTTGTGCTTCGCACAAAGAACAAATGAAAAATGTATTTTTCTTTAATTTGTAATTACAGAAATTTTGAACGTCATTGACATTTGTCACGTCATTTCTTAAGCTGGTATCAAATTAGAGATTAAGATTGAGATTAAAATTTGACCAATCTGAACGAAGTTCGCTAAACTTGAGATTAATTTTCTCTTTTCTGATTGGTTAAATGTCAGTAATTTCATAAACTTTGAAACGAAGTGAAAATTACAAAAATGAGGAAATTCTCTAGAATATCTGCGATTTCATACGTCTAGTAAATCTAGTAAATTTCTTGCGTTGCGTTGCGCGCCACTCTTGTAATTTTCATGTTTTACGATATATAAAATCAACCCCTCGATCTATCTGCGAGTGTCACTACTGGTTATACTGTATGGTATAGACGACCGACTCGCCCATCTGGACTATACTTGACTCACGGCCGCAGACGCTTGCGCGCCGCGCACTGGGCATCGGCGTGTGACGAGAGGGTGAACGCGTACGAGAAATAAACAGAGTGCGGCGTGTAGCAGTGGTGGCGAGTGGAGCGCGCGTTTAACAACCATGGCGTCGGCGAATAAGAAGGCCAAGGAGCTCGAGGATCCGGGCTCGGGCGAGGGGGACGCCCGAGACTACGACGTCGAGATACAGAAGACCCTCGAGGAGATCGACGGGTGTCAGAATCAAATCGATGGCCTGAACGAGAAGGCCAGCGACGAGATCCTCGAGGTCGAGAAGAAGTATAACAAGCTGCGCAAGCCCTACTTCCAGAAGCGTAACGACATCATCAAGAGGATACCCAACTTCTGGGTCACCGCCGTATCCTTTTTGCCAACGCCGCGCCCGCCGTCCCGCGACTCGACTCCGCGAAATTCGGTACGCGGCCGCGCGCCGTTTTGACGTTTCTCGGCGGTGCCGGCGTCCACCGGCGACCGCCGCCATCTTGCCTACTTGTGTACGTGCGTAAGCGTGTGTAACCGTACGATTATGTGCTTTACGATTATGCCTTTCGCTTGCTAATGTCACTCGTGAAATCTCTGCGCCACGCCGTTGTCGGCTCGCGCGGAAACACGCGATGATACAACTTTGCGATATTCGATGTTTAAATTGGTTTAGGAACGCATCAGGTGATATAGGGCTCGAGTCGTGGGCATTTGATGGATTCAAATTTTCAGTCTCGCAAATGATTAGAAAATGATGGAGGCGGTTGTTTTTCTTATTATGTCAAATTAATTCATATCATATTCTTCCTTATAAAAAACTTTTAGTTTGTAAACAACAAAGAAATAGCAGAAATATTGGAAGAAGACGAGGAGGATGCACTGAGATTCCTAAACAAATTAGAAGTTGAAGAATTTGAAGATATCAAGTCTGGCTATAGGATTAATTTTTACTTCGATGAGAATCCATATTTTGAAAATGATGTTTTAACTAAGGAATTTCACCTAGGATCTTCTGGTGAGCGCATTTGTTGTCAGCATTCCGTTATCAAATTGATATGTAGAAAACTAATTACTTAATAATTAAAAAAATGTACAATGTAATATTTATAATTTAATTGAGTATCATAGTTGCGATGAATCTCCTGCTATTTTGCAGGAGATCCAGCATCTCAAAGTACATCTATCCGTTGGAAAGAAGGTGCGGATTTAACAAAGAAAGCAAAAACCAAAGCACCATTGAAAGGACGCAAAAGGCCACTTAAACACAGATCATTCTTTGATTGGTTTACGGATCATGGAGATCCAAGTTCAGACGAGATAGCTGAACTAATTAAAGATGACATGTGGCCTAATCCATTGCAGGTAAATATTTTATATATACTTTAAAAATACTTTAAATATTTATATATAAAATACATAAGTGACATCGAAGAGATTATACATATGTTGATCTTTTGTTGGGTTTTAGTATTATCTGGCTCCAGATATAGATGTCGAGAATGGCATTGAGGGTGATGGTGAAGAATGTGAAAGTGAAGAGGATGAAGACGAAGAGGATGGTGCAGACGATGGCGATGAAGGAGGAGAAGGAGAGGAAGGAGACGACAGCATAGTAGTAGTCGAGGATGATGTGGATGAAGATGATGATGAGGACGAGGCTGTGAACGATGAAGATGATGGTGTAAATGAAGAAGACGATCTATTGGTAGACGATGAAGGAGATCGCGAAGGTAGGCATTAAAACGTAGCTTTATATTTTATCATATATATATATATATATATATATGTAAATTATATAAAAATCAATTTAATTGTTACAGAAGGAGAAGAGCCTGAATAGAGAGTCGTAATCCGAGTTCTGATAATATCCTATTTCACAGATATTGTGAAGAAGAGGAAAAAAAATGAATGAAATTTTGTGCACCGAATCAATCAAGAACAGAGATAGTCTACTGGACTGAAAATATTATGCCATATGAATAAATCTCAGGACACACATTTTTGAATATATGAAAATAGGGAAACAATTTAGAAGATCTAGACCCTTTCGATTGAGAACCTATGTATAAAAATACAACATTTTGTTAAGATATATTGAAAGTGGTTTGAAAACAGAAAGGGTCTGGATTAAATTAGATAGATTTCACTCTTGCACTATGAATCTGTATTGGAACATAATACAAATTCCTCAGTTATATTCATATGGCCTAGTCGTCGTTCCCTTAATAAAATATGCGACAGAAAAAATGTCCGCTTGGTTCTTAATATCGCGGATTTTATTGATAAGTTAGGATAAAATAGAAGTGAGGCACTAGGTGGGGAGTTCCATTTAATTGCTTTCTCATGAAAATTATTCTTTAAATATGACTTCCGAGAACGAGGTGTTTTCAATACAATTTTTGAGAGTGACAATTATCTTCTCTATTTTCGCACATGAAGCACACGGACTACACAGCTACTATCTTATTTTCAAATAAAATACTGGAATGAAGATCATCTTTTGTTACAATTCAATTTTTATGATTGCACATCATCACAGATTTGTTTCTATCTTAGAAAAATGCTAGTTAAAAACATTTTTTATGATTCATGATTGTTGTTAATTTATTCATTTTATATTGCTATAGATTGTATCACAATTTTTATATTATTTTATCTAACATTTTTATATAATTTTATATTGATATAGGTATAAAATAGGAGAAATATGTCTGTAATAGCCCTGTTCCCCCTCCCGTTTATAAGTTACATATTAAAAAATTTACACAATATTATTAAATAGTATATGATTTTAGTATGTCATGTTACAATGTTGCTCCAATAAACGAAAACTCATGGAAATGATATATTTATATATTATTACAAAACTCGCAGCCAACCGAGCTGTCATTCCGTTATATATTTTTCTGGATTTTAAGAGTCGATTATCATATTTAAAAAGATATAAAAAAAATATTGCTGCGCAGTATAATGCTCAAGGAACTATGTACAATTTTCGATAAAACAAATATTGCGATGTATAATTGTATATTTTATTACTTACGGATAGATGAAAAGATTCGTATCGAAACTTCCATTTTGATTAATTTTCTTCGAATAATAATAATTCGAAAAGTATAAATATTCTGTTATTGACGACGACGTCCATCGCGTACTTGTCACACTCAAAAAGATATTTTCACTTTGTTACACCTCGTTCATGTTCTTCCATACTTCGTGTCACGATTTACTCATTGTCGTGTAAGATAAATGTTTCGTCGAGATTTCTCACATTTTATACATACTTTCAATGATGATTTCACCTTACAAAGTTATAACAAGGATGAAATCAACATACAGAGTCACGGTGGTACACTTACATCGTCTATAATCGGCGTCAGAGGAGAAATAAGATAAATATTATCAAATACACATCCGCGTCCAGTAAACCGAATCTCGTTGGTTATCTTACATTCTTCGAAGCCTAGGAGAAACAAGTAATTACTATGTTTCGAATAGAAAGCGCTCGTAGTCGATTTGATAAAAATAAGCTGTAATTGTCTAATTTTAGAATAAAGTACAACAGCGATATTTTTTAATTAAGGATATATATATATAT